TCACCCGCAAGATGGCCAAAGAAAGGTGCTCTATGACAAGGTCTCGCAAAATGCAGCTTCTGCTACCTTCAAGCGTCATAGCAGCGGGCCATCGAATTCGGCGCAACGAGATTCGACCATGTCCTTCATCTATCTTACCGAATCACAAGTCGCCCAACCGGTGCTCTCGCGACCCGAACCACTGCTATCGAACACGAAAACAAATAGGGGGAACAAAGGCGGACAGAAGATTCCTGATGATCAGCGTGGCGGTAGCAAGGCGCACGAGATAGAGCGGATCAACAAGCTGTTCGAGATCCTCTCCGCGCGATCCGATATCGACCATCCTATCTGCGTTGAGTGTACTGATATGCTCGTAGAAGGCCTTCAGAAAAAGCTAGAGGCTGCGGCGAGGGAGCGCGATGCCTACGTTGGCTTCCTGAAACAAGTGCAGAGCGACCAGCCGAACGAGGAGGATGTCAAAGCACAAGAGGAAGCTCTGAAGAAGGCAAAGCAGGCGGAGACAGACGCCATGGCTGAGTTGTTACGCTTAGAGGAGGAAAAGGCATCCGTGGACGCGGAAATAATTGCTCTAGAGGAGGAATCCCAGCAGCTTGACCACGAGGAAGAGCAGTTCTGGCGCGAGCGCAACACCTTTGCTACCAAGCTTGCCGACTTCCAAAACGAGCGCGACAGCACGAACTCCAGGTTCGACAACGATGCTCAGCTGTTGGAGAAGCTGCAACGATCGAACGTATACAACGACACATTCTGCATCAGCCACGACGGCACGTTTGCTACTATCAACGGGCTACGTCTTGGCCGACTGTCGAACAAGCCGGTTGACTGGCCCGAGATCAATGCAGCATGGGGCCACGCCCTTCTTCTGCTAGTCACAGTTGCCGACAAGCTGGGCTACAAATTCGACGGGTTTGAGCCGCAGCCCATGGGAAACACTTCAAAGATCATTCGGTATGAGCTCCCATCGCCAACAGCCAGTCGCTTAGGATCGCATCGAAACGCACCACCGCCAGCTCCGAAGAAGCACGTCCTGGAGCTTTTCTCTAATGGAGATCTACCTCTGGGATTGACCTTCATGCACCGTAAATTTGATAATGCGATGGTTGCATTCCTTGAGCTCGTGCGGCAGCTTGGTGCTTTCGTGCATCGACAGACGGCAGCTGATGGCCATCCACTTAGCCTTCCCTATAAGATTGAGGGCGACAAGATCATGGATGTGAGCATCAAGCTCGGCATTGCTCAAGACGATGGGTGGACGAAGGCGTGCAAGCTCACCCTTACGTGCTGCAAGTTCCTGCTTGCGCACGCGAGTAACGTGAACACGAGCGCGAGGGCTGCAAATAATCAATAATTATTGCACAAAATCGACGCCTTTAAGGCAGTAATCGGGTCATGGAGTTAAGGGGCTTTCTTGGCAGGTATAGATCAAGCGTATCATTTGGAGTTCACGGTGTATTACTATGAACCATAAGTCACAAGAAGCAGTGCATTCTCTATTTACAGCTCAATATTGGGGCATTGCTTTCAGATGCTCGGAAACAATCGCGTCAGTGATGCAAGGGGACCCGTTTACCGCCGCCGACATCTCAACAGCGTAGGCTCGAGTTTGACCTACCTAGTATGTAGCACAGACATTTCATAACTACTTGGCATTGATTTCGCGATGAGACTTGGGGTGCACTTTTTCGGAAGACGACTTAAACTACGTGACGAAATGGCGAATATCCCCACGTCGCAATCTGACTGCATGCAGCTGGCCAAGTCAGCCTTGGTTCAAGGTTGACGCTTGTTGGCGGCAGTCCGCGGCCAACCAGGCAGCAAGGCGTCCTCACGAAACATAAGCTGCTCGGCTGCCTCAATTGTCTTACACCACGCAACGCACCCATGCAAGCCTAATGCACTGGTCTTTTCAAGCTACCAATCAATCATTTTGCGACCATGTTACTTGCCTAGATGCGGGGTGAATTCTCGCCTTATCTGCTGCTGCACCATGACCTGGCAGGCAAACCCAGGTTCCATTGGCTGCTCAGCCTGCCTGCTGCCGCCCGCCGATGATTCCGAGAGCCGCAAAGAGTCGCGGGGGTTAAAAGAATCGTTTAGTCCACATAAAATTGACTTCCGTTGTGTCTGGCGTCATCTGTTAGCCTGTCTCTCTTTACTCTCATCCTACGACTTGCCGTGTAACATCAAGACTCTCACCTGAAGTACAACTTCCATCATGGGCGGCCAGGCAGACAATGTAAGATTGCTGCAAGATTTCCCCTTCTCAGTTCTTTGCACAAACGAGCTAACAAGATCTAGACCATTGACGATGAAACCGGCTCTACCGTCAGTTTCGAGGAAGTTGACTACAGGCGCGCCGCCAAGAAAAGCCAGGCTCTGGTAGCCAGGGAACGTCTGGAAGAGGAGACACCGTCAGACATCCTATACGTTCTGCAATACTTGGGCATCGGTGGCAAGGTCATCGACAGTAAGCCAACAACAATGATCCCCCTTCCCCGCTGCGCTCTGTTAACATGACCAGGCCGGGAGAGCAGCAATCCATTCAAGGAGATCCCCGACTACGGGAAGAAGGATGGCGAGACCACTCAGCGGACTGTCAATTCCGTGCTCGAGATCGTGACAAAAGTCAACACCAATGCCAAGATCAGACGTGTGCGTCGTCGTAGCTCTCCGCACATTACCTATCCCGACGATGATTACACTTCGGCATCTTCAGACAGCGAGGATGATGAGCGCGCGAAGGCCGGGAAGATTGAGCGCACACAGATGATCATCCACTCGCCGCACCTCATCAACGCATTGAGGGCGGTTGTAGCATATTATCCGCACGTCAATCTTCTAGGAGATACGGTGGCCATTGACGCTCCTTACCGCGTCATCGTACATCATCTCAACGCCCTCAGGCAGTACAGATTCCACCAGCCTGCTGGCCACTCCACGGAGTACGCTCGTCTGACGGCGAACCATATTGATGTTCTTTTGGATTTCATCGACCAGGCTGTCGGAGACTCCATTCGGGCTGAAGAGGAACGTCACCGTCGCAATGTCCCAGTTGCGACCTTCCAGAACTATTGGATGGCCCTCAAGCCAGGCGAGGTCATCTACGTGAACCATGATGACCTCTGGGAGCCCCACGTCATTAGCAGCACTTATCAGGACATCTCTCCGACCGGACGCAACAGTCGCCACTTGCAGGTTGTTGCCTGGGTTCTCGAGATGGGCCACAACCGTATGAATCGAAAGATGTCCCAGTTCACCATCCCTTCGTGGACCGGCGAGCAGATCATCCCTTCGCTGAAGATTATTCCAGCCTTCTTCTTCCAGAATGACCCGCAAGCAATGCTTCAGAAGCAGTTGAGACTTGGCAAGCTGTACTGGGAGCTTCTTCAGCGCCCAACCTATATGGAGTATGACGGAATGCTTGTACAGGCTCAACCTGGATCTCACTCGGGCCCAATCTTCAGCCGTGGCCCATCGGGTTATGTGAGTCTTCTTCCCTGATCCTGTTTACGATTGACAGCAGCTAAACCTCCAACAGATGACGGGGCGAGTGATCTGCGATGCCGAGGGCTTTGGTCGTTTCAACTTTCGCGCACCAGAGAATCGGAACGGCCCCCCGGGCCCGCCGCGTCAAGTGGTACCTCCAGGCATGATGCCTGGCCAACATCATGGACCACCGCCTGCCCAAGACCATCTCCCACATTTCCTTCCACGTTGCGGCTGCCAGGAATGCGCCAAGGAAACCGATCGCACCGACTTGTCACCCTTCGCAGGCTTCGACGACATCAACCCTCTGACGTCGCCGGCCCCTACCTCTGACATCTTCTACATTGCCTGCACCAACATCATCCCAGCCTTCCTTCTCGGCGACCGCCGTTGGGGTCACTTGAACCTCGACCATGTGAAACCCGTCATAACGGACCGTGAAGCCTTCAAGTACCTCGTCCTCGACGACGAGATCAAGATGACAGTCAAGGCCCTCATCGGCAAATTCGCGGCAGCCGAATCCGGCAAAGTCTCACCCTGGGCCAACGACTTCATCAAGAACAAGGGCGAAGGCCGCATCTTCCTCCTCCATGGGGCCCCGGGTGTCGGCAAGACCTGCACCGCCGAGTGCGTCGCAGAGCTGACCAACCGGCCCCTCATCTCCCTCACCTCGGGCGACCTCAGCGTGAATTCGCACAGTGTGGAGCACAACCTCTCCTACTTCCTCGAGCTGGGCCAGCGCTTCGGCGCCCTCGTCCTCCTCGACGAGGCGGACGTCTACCTCGAGCGCCGCCGCGCAAAGGACATTGCCCGCAACGGTCTCGTCTCCGTATTCCTCCGCGCGCTCGAGTACTACCGTGGAGTGCTCTTCCTGACCACCAACCGCGTCCAGGCGTTCGACGCGGCCTTTACCTCCCGCATCCACGTGGCGCTGCACTACAAGAACCTGACGGACGTTGACCGCGAACGTATCTGGGCCAACAACTTTGAGCGCCTCGATAGGGACTCACATGGTCGCGTGCGGGTTGCCGTCGCTACGCGTGAGTACGCCTACGATTCGCGCGACGTGCGCGCTCTGCGGTGGAACGGGCGCGAGATCCGCAATGCTCTTCAGACGGCGCTGGCGCTCGCCGAGAGCGATGCTGCAGAGGAAGGTACCGAACGGATCACTGTTACGGATAAGCACCTGCGGGCTGTGGTCAAGATGAGCCGCGGCTTCAGGGACTACCTTCGTAGTGGGAGTGTCTATGACGGAGAGAGCGAGATCTGCGAGAGCGAGGGAGAAGAGGGCGATATCTACTCTGACTGAGCTTCCGTTTGAGAGCCTCCTGATAGGAATGGGTCGTTGAGCAGCTTTTTCTTACTAGTGTCGGTTGGACTTTTGCCTCGCGGTTTAATTTTTCACGAAGTTGATGACAAGATTGGAATAAACGCTGGACGTCAGAATTGGAGCAATTTGACGAATCCGAGAGTACCGAGAAATTAACAAAAGACCTACATGACTAAAGAACTCTTAGCTTTGCTCCCTCTTCACCATGTGATGTCATGCTATTTACTATTTCTGGACCGGTTTCCCGTTGTAAATTTCCATCAAAGTCCGTGTGAAATCTCAACCCCTATGCCGGGATTCTTTACCTTAAACCTCATCAGCGCGCCTCATACCCACCACTTTGGGCCTTGGGCTACTTGAATCCAATCAAACTACGGATCCAAGGACCTGCATGCAGTATCATTTTGCGTGGGAAGTCTTAGCTTTGGGCGAAGTGACCCGGTGCCATCCCATTAGAATTCCGCTCACTCCTCCTCGCTCACCTTCCGAAATCCATACCCGCCAGCACCAATCTTCATTTCCAAGTCTCAAGCCGTGAACTACCTTGAATGGACTCAGGTATTTCAGTTCAAAACAGGCCTCCACCCCTTCCTCCTCACAAACCCCTCAACACCGCCGTCTCGCAAAACCTCATCTCCCCTCCGACCCGTCACTACACTCCTCTCGACGTCAGGACCCCGAACGTAGAACGGAAATCTCAGCCTCCCGCTATCGTCAACCTCACCAACATTGCCGCCCTCATTGTTTCCTTTACCACCAGCTACGTCGCCACTATCCTTCAAAACCCAGACCCTCTTCCTCCCAACACCTCTCCTCTCAAACCCACACGCCTCCCGATCAAGCGAAAGGTACCACCGCCGCTGATACACACTCCCGACACTATTCTCCGCGCCCCGATACGCATTCGTCCTCCTAACAAACTCGTCCTCCACCTCCCGAATCTCCCTCTCCATAGCCGATAACTTCTTTTCCTCTCCCTCACCAACACCACCGTCGCCGTCAAGCGGATCAGGGACGACATCCCCATCCCCATTAACACCCCCCTCATCACCAGACTCCCCGTCAGAACTAGTCTCAACAACTTCCTTCTTCTTCGTCTGCTTCCCACCACCCCGCCTCTTCTTCCTCACAGGCCTCCCAAGCGACCTCGTGCTCTTCCGCCTCCCCTCCGCGTCCTCCCCCTTGGTAAGCCTCAGATTCAACACATACCTCTCAGGAAGCCGGCTCCCATGCAACCTAACCCGAATCTTCCTCTCCCCAAACGCCCTCGCCAACTTTTCCTGCTCCGTCATACCTCCCTCCTCATCCTTTGCACCCCCCCCATCATCATCATCATCATCCTTCCCGGAATCAGGATCAATAACCGGCCCATCCCCCCCTCCCCTCTCCAAAACCTCAAACCACCCACAATCCCAAACAACCAAACTCCCCGTCCCCCCACTCCCCACCTCAACAACATGATTCCAAAGACAATGCACCCTCGTCTCCGTCGCATTCCGATTCAACCTCGTAGAGTTCGCGTCCCCGGGTAACCCGTACATCACCGCCCAACTCACACTGCTCGTCTCATTCACCTGCAATCGTAAATCATAATGCACCCCCGCGATCGGGTGGTCGTGCTGGTGCACCACAAAGTGCGCGCCCCGCTTCGAACCGGCGTGCGAGAGGAAGAGATCCCGGAAAGAAGCGCGACTGCCGTCGACACCGATGCCTGGTCCTGCGGAGAGGTGTGGTGTGTGCGAGGGGTAAGGGTCGAGGGTATGCTGCGCCAGGTGGGTGAAGAAGTGCGCTGCCGGGTCAGGTTGCGTCATGGCGCCGGATTCCAATGCCGCTGAGAAACTAGTCGTCTCGGGCTTTGGCTTTGGCCTTGGATGAGCTTCAGGCTCAGGCTCGTGTGGTGGTGAATCTTGCAATACAACTGGGTCTCGACTCTGCCCATTGTTGGCCGTACTGCGTAGTGAATGCTCCTCCTCCTCCTCCTCCTCCTCCTCCTCCTCCTCCTCCTTCTCTCTCTTCTGATCTCCCTCTCCGCTCTCATCGACCTTTGCACCCCCTGGCACATCAAGTCTCCATTCCAAGTTGCGTTTCTTGATAAAAGGATTCTCAATGAACCCCAGACTCGGCGGTCGTTTCGACCCCATGGTCTGCCTACCGTGGTTTGATTAAAGGCGTTTATGAAACATTTAGTAGGCGGGGCAACTCAACACCGCCCCCCAAAAAGATTATAGTCTGGTCAAAATGAATAAAGGGGTATCCAAAAGACTATCAAGACATTTTCACAACGTTGACAGAAAGTTGTCGACTTTTAAAGGCCTGTAACATGACTACCGTGGTGTTGTCTAAAGTGACATTGACCACCGAAAGTTGGCATGTCGTTGCACGGACCCCACTTGCTTCCGTCAGCACCCGGCATGTCACAATCATTCCCGGGCCGTCCCCAGATCTACAAAGGTACCGCCATCATCGAAATAATCACAAAACCTGCCAGACAGAAACCATATGAATGGGGCGCCTCATTCAAATGACTATAGAGATATCGCCACATAGCCCTTGTTATACCCTTACAACGCCATGCCATGCAAGCAAATTCGTTCGCGAGTGCAACCTTCGCGCGAGTTTCCGTTACCTCTGTTCCAACCTTTCAAGGCTTGCACCGCCCATCAAAGCTCGCACTATTTGCTTCATTCCCATGTGTTCCAACTAAGCAACGCTTTTCCCCATGTTTCATTGTACAAGACAAGATTCGAACACTCTTACAGTAGCTGGTACCCTCTACGGCTTCTGCTCCACCAGGGTGGGCGCGATTCGTCTCTTCTTGGGCTCGCTGCCCTCTTCCTTCTCACCCTCGCTTACGTCACGTTTTGTTCCGCTTGTTGCTGGACCGGTAGTCGATGCAGCAGGAGTCGGGTTCGTGGTAGCATTGGTCCTCGGCGTCTCTGGCGGCGTAGTGATGGGGACGCCCGTGACCTTGGTGGAGTTGGCAACCGCTATACCGGGCACACTGCCCACAATCAACGAGGGGTTCGTCACCACATTCGATGACTGAGTCGCCACAGACGAGGTAGAGTTTGATCGAGCAGGCGATTGAGGCCGCTGATTGACGAATCCAGCAGGTGGCGGCGACGGGGCTGTAAAAGAGCTCGCCGAGTTTCGGTGATGGTGTCCCGAGCCATTTGGAAATGGAGATGGAGGGGCGAATGCTGAGCTGGGAGCCGGGACCGGAGTGGTTTGATTCGACGTACTCGCTCCTGTGCTTCCAGCAGTCGGGTTCTTGGCAGTGGGCAGATCCCCTTGGTAGATCTGGCCGAGCTCACCGGGCGAGAAAGATAAGGTAGAACAAAATCCATCGGATGATGAAACCAAAAGAGTAAGACCATCGCTTGACCTATACACATAGTTAGCTTCGTCTCAACTCAAGCTGCAGCACATATTACTCACCAAGCCAGGTCAGTGAAAGTCGCGCAATGAAGATTGCTGACGATGCAGATAGGTGTCTGCTGCTGAGAATCGTAAAGAAGAACGGCGTCTTGAGTCGCGACAGCGTAGATCATTCTGTAAGGCAGGGCAAAGGCTGCCTTGGGGCCAGGGGTAGAGGCGCTAGAGTCGGCCTTGTTGGGTGTAGAACTGGACTCGGGGACTGAGGTTGGCGGCGGAGGCGGGTCCATGACCGAACTAGCTGTCATCGGCTTCGAGACTGGTTCAGGTAGTGCCGGAATGGGGTCTTCAGAGGATGATGTATCGATGGTGATGTGCTTAGTCACAGGAGGTGATGTCCGCAACGAGTAAAAGATTGGTGAGCACTTGACCACAACAGAAGGCTTCTTGTGACCAGGCAAGTGCGCAATCGGCGCCTTGTTGATGCCGCCTCTCGTGTAAATGTAGACAGTGTTGGTGACCTCAAATGTTGGCTTCGCATTTCCTTCTGAACTGTGTTGAGTTTGGTATTGGCCAGCTGGAGTAAGTAGAAGACTGCCATCTGGGGTGAAAGTCAAGCGTCGGAAGAAGGATGTGAGAGTCTCATTGGCGTAGAGCGTCGAGTTCTTCATGCCAAGGCCGCCAGAGGGGTGAGGCTTTGGCGATGGCTCCATGGACATGACAGCTGGCAGCGGCATTGATGGAGCCGGAGACGGAGATCGTCTAGATGAGAACGACGACCTCCTGCTGTGGCTAATCACACTGGGAGGATTCATCGGCAATGCAATTGAGGTAGGAGTTCCGGGGGCGGAGGGGACCGGGGATCCTATGGCCTGTTCAACAGTAAGGTGGGTCCTCATGCCGAAGTCAGGAGGTGCAGGGCTGCTAGAGGATATGCGGCGCGGCGGCAAGTCACTCTTGTTATGGCTTGCGATCTTGGAGGGCTTGTCGTCGTGGTTGCCGCTCAGTGTGTGCTGGCCATCCTTATTCTTCAACGTATAGATGTGGACGGATCGATCGGAGGATTGGGTTGCAATGTACTCGTTCAAAGGATCCCACGCAACACCTTGGACGTAATGACTATGCTCGGCAATCTGGCGCACAAGAGTACCTGTCTTTGTTAGATATGAGTGTATGATATGCCATCACTAGCGAGAGGGGAAACATACCAGAGCTGGCATTGTAGATTCGAGCAATGTTGTCCATGCTCCCAATGATGAAATAGGAGCTATCAGGAGACCAGGCAAGGTCATAAATTTCGGATCCGCTAGATCGACACATGTGCTTGGTTCTCCAGGTCTCCTTATCCTCGAGGCCCTCGTTGCCAAAGGCAGGACCGCTGTGTTCGGACATGACCCATATGATGACATTGCCGTCGTCGCCGGCGGAAGCGAGGATTTCGCCTGCACGAGAAAAAAAAAAGTCAGCGAATGCAGGATGAGGCATCTGTCTGGAAATTGGATTCTGACCTTTGGGGGCCCATCGAACAACATTAACTGCCTGCGTATGCTTGCTCAAGGTTGACAAGTAGTCGACCTTCCGATCTTCTCCGTCGCTGTCTACCTTCCAAAGCTGGAGTTCTTGTCAGCATCGCAGCGCAGGGTCACGCGTGGAACCAGGTAGCATGCTCGCCAGATCAGGTGTCTGACGTACTCTCACGTTATTGTCTCCTCCAGCCGTAGCTAGTCGGCCCTTGCCGTTGGGCTCGAAATGGGCCGAGTAGACGGGGGCATTCTGGTCGTGCCAATTGATGATAAGCGGCGTGCTCTTCATCGTGACTGGTTGTGTATACGGCCGTCTCGAGACATGTGCGGGATCGTGGGTGGTCGTAGGGCGGGTTGGTGATGATGGGCGCTCGTACGATGAATGGTTTGTAGGATGGAATACGGGCCGTGCTGGACGTTTCTGAGGACCTTATCGGCGAGTAAAATGCAATCGTCGATTCGAGTCGGGAAGCTTCGTGCGGCGCTCGCGGTGGGATGAGGTTGGATGAGGGGCGGGCAGGCTGAGGAGGTCGAGCTTCTCCTTAGCTCGGCAACAGCAGCTCGGGAGATTGGTCGATGGGCAACAGCTCTTGCAGCAGCGTCGATTTCGCAGCTGCTTAGCGGGAAAGCTCAATGGGCGGATCGGGAGGGTTGGATTGACAGGACGTTTAGTACCGCGTGGAACGACACACGAGGACTTGTATTTTTTGGAATTGTACGGATAGAGAGGAAGGATAAAGAAGGAAAAAGCGAAAATGGGAAATCAATTAAACTTGGCAGGGAATTGTCACGAGGGCGCAAGAATGGATGAAAGGTCGTTCCCGAGCAGGGCAGGGTGGAGTTTGGTGTATGGTTTGGTTCGGCTTGCAGGAGCTCAGACGCCTCCACCGCACGCGCTGTTGCAAGGACAGGAAGGAGCTGGAGTTCCCGTGGCACCCATTGTTGTTGCAATTGCGGCTTGTCAGCCTGTACGGATACCGGGCTGGAGTGTTCCACCACCAAAAACCCCCCCAAGGTTTGACTGTACCTTGGGTGGTGTGGTAGGCTGCTCCAGCCGCTACAGCAACCAGACCTGCAGAGCCTGTCGCAGCTGCAGCGCCCAGCATCGGCATCATTCTAGCTTACTTAGCACCCTAGCGGGCACTGCATCTCGAGAAAATCGAGGAGAACAGCCGTGAGCAGGGAAACGACAGGGAAAATGCTCGCCGTAAGGCGCCCGGGATGTTGCTGTGGCCAATCAGACAGCTCCGTCAGAGAAAGTCTTCGGAGGAGCAACCCACTATTTGGTACGTGTAGCCGCGTCTGATTGGCTACAGCCGTTTCCCAAGATGCCTTTGACTGGGTCTTTGGATTTTGAACAGAGCGTGAATCTTTTCTTCTTCTTTTTTTCTGCTTTTGGTCATCCATATACTATTATCAGAGCAAAGGATGCGTTTGAAGCAAACATCGTTCCCAAATTGCGCAGAGTCAAATCAGGCT